TTTCTCTTATATCCGGGTCTCTTATATCCGGGTTACACTGTAGTCACTTTAAACAGATTATTTAAAAGCCGTTTTATTTATTTATTTTTGCTTATTGAAGATTGAAATTTTAAATCGATTTCAGAAAAGATATAAATATTTTCTTTAAAACACAAGATGCGTCTTTTCTATTTCGCATCGCTGAAATATTATCAAAGACGAAACACGCAGAGAAAATTCATTCATTACATCTTATGCGGGATTTATCTAACTATATTTCTGCAAAAGACGCCGGCGTTATCACATCTGAGCAAGAGTGTAAGAACCTCCTCCTTCTTCTTCTTCTTCTTCTTCTTCTTCTTCTTCTTCTATGTACCATGTCTCATCAGAATGTGGGCGATTATGTCTCTCCACAACTTCCTGTCTTTAGTAACTCTTAGTATAGTTTCTTTTTTGCTATCTCTCCTAATCCCTGTTTCTTACACAAGCACTCTAGGTAGGTTATTCGCTGCTTTCCTCTGTCCCTCTTGCTTTCAATCAGTCCTGTGAGTATCAAATTTTCCAAACCCTCTTTCCTCATCATATGTACCAGAAATTTCAACTGTCTCTTTCTGATGCTAAGTATGAGTGTCCTTTTCGCTTCTATTTTCTCTAAAACTTCCTCGTTACTCATATGTTCAATCTGTGACATTCTCAGCATCCTTCTGTAGAACAACATTTCTGTTGCTTCAATTCTCCTCTTCATCTGTGATAAGACTGTACAGCATTCGCTGTCATATAGGAGTACTGATATATTACATAACTGTTCAATACTTTTTTGTTTCTAAAGAAATTTTCACGTTTCATAATACTTTGTTTATCTTTTGGAAGGTATCTATTGCCTTCGGATTTTAGTGAAGCATTTTCAGTCCCCTGTTAAAGCACTTCCTATAGATATTTAAATTTTTGTATCTGCTTCATTTTGACATCTCCAATTTGTAATTTGCATGTTCAGCTATCCCTTTTGCTGACTAACGTACATTCTGTCTTCTGACAACTGATGTTTAGCTCATTTTTCTTGCTCTCCTTTGCAACATTCTGTAGGAGTCTCTGTAGTTTCCTTTCTATGTCTGCTCTGAACACTGTGTGATTTGTATATATAATGTTGTTAAGACTGTGGCCATCTATAATGAATCCTGGTAGGACATCTAATTCTCTCAGAATTACTTCACTGTAAAAGTTGAATATGTCTGGTATGAAAACAGATCATTGTCTTATGCCCCGTTTTATTTTTGTGTATTTACTGACTCCATTTTCTCTCCGTATGCAGGCGGTTTTCTCTCAGTATAAGTTCAGGATTATTCTAATATCCTTCCTAAAAATGTCAAGCATACCTAGCAGTTCAAATAGTTCTTAGTGACACACTTTATCAAACGATTTTGCATAATCTATAAAACATAGGTATACACCCTTTTGCATTTGTGCTGCGCTTTCTGATATCATTCTGAGAATAAATATTGTATTCCTTGTTCCAGTTTCTTTAACGTACCCGCACTGTTTTTGTCCTATTTCGAGTCTAATTCTGTTACGCGCTCTATTCGGATGATACGTTTTGTGGCTTATTAGGCTGATTATCCGATTGAGTTCGTATTTGTTTGCACTTAAAAAGCCAGACCCTAGCACTGCTCATATTTGAGTATAGATCGAACAAAGGTATTGCTTGAAATCCACGTGCAGCTATCATATATATATATATATATATATATATATATATATATATATATATATATATATATATATATATATATAATATAATATAACCCCAATTTTAAAGCTCTGAATAGCTATTATAACCTTACTTCGTTGTCAAGTTTTTTTAATTTTCCTATACTTGTGTTTTGATTGGTTATTCTAGCTTTTGTAACAAGTTTTCCCCCTTGCGAAGGCCCGTTAATTAATTTGAAACTTTTAAAACCATTTATTTTAAAACTTTCATTGATAAGACGCCGGAGGTGTTGAAATAAAAATAGCTATTTTTTGTAGTGATTTTATAACATAATTTTTGTTATAATTTTTAAATAAATAATTATATATATATATATATATATATATATATATATATATATATATATATATATATATATTTTTTTTATAAAAAATTATAACATAAGTATGTTATAAAATCACTACAAAAATAGCCATTTTGTTTCAACACCCTCTGTGTCTTATCAAGTGATGATGTTAAAAGTTGGTGTTCTTTTTTATATATTACTTTCGCTTAAGAACTTCAGATTACGAATTTTAAAAATGAAAAGTCATTTTTTCTGTTCCGATGTATCACGTTGTTTGAACATATTTTGTTTTGGCTTCCGTAAGAGGATCAATTTAGAATGAATTTACAGACAAATCTGGACTCCCCCACTCCTCTCCAAAAAGAAAATTATAAAATTTAATAAAGTTTTCTTTTTAATATTCGGGACCTGGAATATATATAGTAATATGAAAAAAAAAGACTTAAAAAGTATTCCTGGTTAAAAGTGCACATTGTACTACTTCACACTTAGAAGACGCAACTACCTTAGCCATGTGGTAGGCTAACAGTGAAAATATATTTAATTTTATCAAAAGTAAAAAAGAAAAGATGGATCACGTAATTGTGGCGTAATGTTTAACAACCTAATCTTCCGTGTTTGCTATGTCGTTTCAGGGAACCCGTGAGCATGGCTCTCGACAACTTCTCTTTTACTGTTTCAAGTAACTCTTGTCCCTTTTAATTCCATTTTGCCATCCATTCGAGCAAATTAAGTTGATTATACGATGTTTGTTATTCTTCTCTTGCCTTCAATATTTCTTGTAAGTATTAAATTTCCCCCCCCCCGGTTTTTTTTTTTGGTTTTTTTTTTATTTTCTTGCTTCAAATTTTTCATTTTGTGCTAAAGAAAAGTGAATTATAGTGCAAGGGAGACAACCTCATAGAAGACTGAATTTCTATTGAGTTCACTCCCTTGGATTGTAAGTCGCATTTTCATACTTTAAAATTGAGAATGCCAACCGTAAAAAGGGAGCGCCAAGCGTAAAAATAATGGCGAGCAATTCGATTCACAGCCCAGTTCATAAATGTATTGACTTCGATCCTCACTAAGTGCCTCGAAATTGTGATTCTTGGTATATAAGCTGAAAGGCGGAAATATGTCTACTGATGGAGCCAACATTTGTTTTCGATATTGGTTCTAAATTCAAAATATAAGTTAATTAATTGTGCAGGGAAAACGTTGTGAACTGGAAAATTCCCGACCAATTAAAAAAAAATAATTTCCTATTAATCAAATGCAGAAGTATGTGTTAGTTACTGCTGTCAAATTGATTTAAAAAAAGTTATGGTGAAATTACATAGCGAAAATTGATATTTTTCCACAATGAATAAAGTCAGACAAATCATACATTTCTGGAATTCATCATCGTTATTATTGTATCCCTGTTTACTGTCTAGCTTAATACGGCACAAAGCGACGAATAAGAAGAGTGTACAGCACCAGTCTTCAAAAAAATCAGAACTTAAAAACTTTGATTTTACCCGAGATGGAACCCCGACCACTGAATCCAGGACAATTATCTCAGCCGCCACTCAGGCTATGATTATTAATAGACCAAAGTTCTTTAGGTACAAGGCCACAAATAAAGGGAACCGTGTGAGGAATTACGCAACTGTCTAAGCCATTTGACACAGCTTATTGTTGTTTTGTCACCATCAGCAGCAGCAGTATCATCATCATCATCATCATCATCAGTATTATCATAACTTGTATCTTCATGAAATATATTTGGAAATTCGTTGTCGTCGTCGTCGCCGCCGCCGTCGTCTTTATGTCACATCCAAGTATTTAATTTCTTCTTTTCTAGTCGCTTCCTTTATGATAATGGCGTTGATGACTAAATTTGCCACCAACGTGCACGTTCAAGATTAGACGCTTCCAGTTTCAGCAAAACCTGCCCGCGTCATCGCCGTTTGGCATTGCAAGACTTGGAGAAAGGTAAAAGAACATCACAATAGAAAGTGCCAGTGGTGTGAATTTATGTAAGGTCGACCTCAACTTGCCAGGAAGTGACTAACACACTTGATTTTACGACCATCCTCTGCAGCACATGTGAAATGAAACATGCAAAATCCAGTTATGAAACTGCAACGGATTGCCGCTGACTCTGTTATAATTTAGAGTGACGCCTTCTATAGCATGTCCGTCATACGTAGACCTCTTCATCCGCTAGTTCAACCGTTGACATCTGTTGTAATCGTTATCCGCTTGTTCCACCGTTGGGGGTCTTTGGGGTTGGTCGCGCTTAGCCTGGTTCCTCGTCTTCGACTTTACCGCCAAGAGTGGTCCTATCAGAAGTTTAGAACTACTGACAGCATCGCTCTCAGAGTCATTGGACCACACAATCCCTCCATCGCGACCATCAGATGTACGTACATAGAAACATTCACGCATAAACACACATATATATTTTACTCAGGATGTTGGACAGGATTACCTCAGTGGATCAAGCGATATCAAATCTTCTTAGATGTCCAGCGCGCTCTTCAGCATTCTCGTCAAAATAAACGCTGATGTAGTTAATTCATCTAAGATTCTTTTATTCTTCTAAGTTCATGACAAAAACTCTTTAGAATTGGTCCTGGTAACATAGTGATTATCGGCATGACCTTCATTTTCCTGTTCCATATTTGTTTTAATTCTCTGACAAGCTTTTCACCTTCAACTGGAACGGTTTTAATTTACGACTTAACAGAATTTCTTTCTTCCTTCGCAATGACCATTTTCTATTCTCAAACGGTTCAATCCGTTAGAAACATATAGTTACTAAAAAATTTGAGTTAAAAACCTTTAAAATGCATTTAAAATAATTTAAATGCTTCCTTTTTAGGAAAATTGTATTTTATTTGGAATATTAACTTAAAGCTAATTCTTATTAACAGAAAAATAAATTTCCGTACATAAACAAAGTTTTGAGACGCTTTTAAAACATTCTTGGTTTACGTCGTATCACGTTGAAAGAGCGGTTCTCGTTCAATCACCTAAGTTAAACAACGATGAGCCCAGTCAGTACCTAGATGGGTGACCGCTTGGGAATACTAGCTGATGTAAGATTGGATGTGCGGGATCTGTAATGGATAACGGCTGGGAATTGGAAATCGGAGAGCTGATTTTCAATTCCAGTTGGGTTCGTTATATTCACGCACAAATACCCTTAGGAAAGGTATGAATCAATCTCTTCTCCCACAGCTATGGGTTAAATAGCGGAACTCGCATTAGTAAATCATTATTATCTTTAAAAAAATCTTACCCCAAAATATTTTCTGGCTCTAAATAACATGTAAATCTAACAAATCACTAAATCAATAAAAAAGCATTTTCACATTCATTTATCACTCATCGAACTGATCGAACCGCCATTATAGAAAGAAATGTACACAACAAATTTTAAAATTTCTTAAAAAATTGAATATTTGTCCTTGGGATTTGTTTCAAAGTAAATTAGTAAAATTAAGGATTAATTATTATCTCAAGATAAAAAATAACGTTTTGGTTTTAATGAATTATTTTTGTAAGATTTCAGGGGAAATATATACAATTTACAAATTTTTTTTTTTTACTTAAATATCTTCAGAAATTTTTCTTCATAAAATATATATATCGCCACTCACCAATTTTTAAAATATTCTAGTTGTATCAAGATGGGAGGGAGCAATTCGATGTGGGGTGATGGTTAACAAGCTTGTCTTGCTTTGATGAATTCTGACCGAGTAGTAAGTTCGCGCCATATTTTCGGCCTATCAAAATGGGAACAGCAGCAAACGTTGCTAAGAGCTACAAAGGATAGGAAGTTGTAGAGAACCATGACCTCTCACGTCCTTAAGGCACACGGCAAATAAAAGGAGATAATATCAGTACGTGTATTTATTAAATCTGACACAATGACATAAGTATTAAGCACTTAATGAGAATCAAACTCTTGGGTGTGTATCGCTCTTCTAGAACAGTGTGATAACTATTATATATATATATATATATATATATATATATATATATATATATATATATATATATAAATGCAATCGTCAACATAGAGGCGACATCTGTTTCATGAGCTATATAGAAAACAGACTGTCGCCTGAAGTGTTGACTTCTATGTTCACTTTATATTTACACACACTCTATCTCTGATATCGAGCACTTTATCCCATAAATATAGCACACCTTAAGACTATATTTCTTCATATATATATATATATATATATATATATACTAACTATTGTACCCAGTATGCACACACACACACACACACACACACATATATATATATATATATATATATATGTAAGTAAATAAAATGGATATAGATCCGACAGAATGAAGAAAAATTTGGAAAAAAACAAAATCCTTAAATGCAATTATGTTGTTTAAAATGAATGTCGACGTCTGAAAAAGGTTTATTAAACCGAAACTTCAGACGTCGACATTTCATTCATTTTAAACAACATAATTGCATTTAAGGATTTTTTTGTTTTTTTATATATATATATATATATATATATATATATATATATATATATATATATATATATATATATATATATATATATTGGGTGTAATATTCTCAGTTGAAGAGCAATATATTAATAGCAGATTTTGAAATTACCTTTTCTCAAGAGAGCTCAACCGGATTTCTCGGGAGCATATATATTGTCTGTATCACAGCTCTTCAGTGCGGGTAGAGGTCCAGTTGCTTCAAGCCGGGATCGAAACCCGACCGATTTTACATCAGTCAGAGATCCTACCCCTAAGCTATCGTCGCACGGTAGAGAGAAAGGAGAAATTTTAACGTTTTCTCTACGAAATTCGAGAGAGCAATGCTGTAATAGTAGTATGATCACAAATGTTGTCATCCACGGACAGACTGTTTCGCTGTATCACAGCTCATCAGTGTACTAGACGTCCGATTGCTTTGTTTAAAAGTTGCTTTTAAATGGATACTAATATTTAATCTTATTTATCTGTTCTTATTTATTTATTAAACAGTATATTTATTTATTTACATCTACCGGCCTGAATATTCGAGTAATCTTGTTAGATTCGAACCTGCGTCACCTGGGGGAAAACTGTTATTAGATCTGACGTGCCTTAGACATGCGGATACGTAGGTGCCTCCGGTCAGGAAACAAAGTCTTCATAAAAAAAAAATAAAAATAAAAATGTTAATATATTTAAATTTAAGAGACGCTCATAAATATTCATCAGGTTAACTTAAATGTCTATGTAAATTATGGAGGATGCTAAGTGACATAATTCAATCTCCACTCAACAAAAATGAGTAAATGATGTTGAATTTTTTTTTTTTTTTTTTTTTTTTACATAATAGGAGGTTATCAATTTAACCGTCTTCTTCGAATTCTTTTACATTTCTATAGTTATAGATGTTGGCTTGGCACGGAGGTAATTCTTTCAAGAATGGAGATTTTGGAAAAAGATTCGGTGCGCAGATTTATATTTTGAATGATTCGTTTTTTGTGGTTGAATTTATTTCTATAACACAATAACTAATGCATTTGATAAATTGCTGTGTCTAAGACTCATTTTTTACGTTTTTTTCTTTAAACTTTTGCTAGTTTTTCTCAGTGGTGGACTCTCCCGTCGTATTTGACGCATGAGGGTCAAGCAGATCATTTTCCTAGGAACCAACAGCCAAACACCAGCACATATGATTTGATTATAGTGATGAAGACTTTCTGCAGAATCAACCACACTTTTTGAAGGGCCGAATACAGAGACTTGCTGCACTACGTGCCACAAGGTCCCCAAACAACCCCTCCGCAGGTTTTGAATTCAGAGTTGTCCTTCTCCTAGACTAGTTGCCATCAAAGGCTATAGAACCCAGTTTGTCCCAAGGGTATTATATATATATATATATATATATATATATATATATATATTTTTTTATTTATTATTTATTTTTATTATATAGATAGATAGACAGATACATAGATAGATAGATATTGATAATATTAGTGGTCAATATATATATATATATATATATATATATATATATATATATATATATATATATATATATAAATTCCCAAGAGGATAGAATCCAAGTAGAACTCAATGTCCAGGACGGAGTAAGAATATAATATAAAAGGTTCAAACACTAATATTCCATGGTTATAATTTATTACATTGGAATCGTAATTACGATCCAATTCATCAAACCTACAAATTCAAAAAGAAATTTGAAAATATAATATTAGTGAGAGTGTATGTGTGGGAGCGGGAAACAAGTGAAAAGGAAAATGTATGAAAGCTCTAGAGAGAGGGTGTAACAGAAGAAAGAAGAATAGGAAGGACTAAAAAAAGTGAGAGAGGGGATTAAAATTTAACAGAGAGAAGTTTTAAAGAAGTTAAATAACGGTTTAAATGATTGAAATTCAAATAAATATAAATTATTTTCAAATGCATAAATCACTACCGATTCGCTGACCTAAAATTAAAATTAAAAAACAGACACCGGCAAAGTGTGGATACATTTCATTTGTGTAGACACTATGCTCAATATATATATATATATATATATATATATATATATATATATATATATATATATTATTAATGATAAGAAGGCGAAAATTTTAATTATCCATTTCGTTTATAATTTTTATTTCGTGAACACCGAGTTGTTAAGCTCTTCAGGATGAAAACTTCCCCGTAGCTGAACATCTCGGTGTTCACAAAATAAAATTATAAATGAAATGGATAATTAATGTCTCCGTCATCTTATTATCATTATGATGCTCTGTTAGTCTACATTGAGCTCTCCCTGGATTTATATCCTCCTCGGAATTATCCCTTCCAGTCACAAACTGGTAAAACGTATAATTATATATATATATATATATATATATATATATATATATATATCATAATATCAAATCCGTAAGTTGTAAGGATAATACAAATAGGTCTTTTTAATATAAAATATTAAAAAGATAGATCCATGGAGAGAGCTTAATGCATCAAAATACGGAGCAATATGATAGACATCAAAGGAATAACTCAATACATCATTAAAAAGTTCAGTAATAATTTATTTCAGATAAGACCTGCCTCATCAGACCGAAGTTATAAAATGGTTTAAATCATCCAGACAAATTATTAAAAATTACAAGCGGAAATGAATAAAAGATTTAACCTAGAAAAATCCTTGAAAAGATAAGAGGAAGTGGGAGGAGAATAAAAAAACAAAAAGGTGTCAACCCAACTAGCAAGGTTGGTAGAGGGAATACAATGTTACATCCAGCGAAATACTTTCAATCAAAATAAATCAAATTTATCAGGTCATCCCATAAGTTCTGTCCAAATTTTGAATAAAAAAAACAAGTGACCAAATGTTACATTTAATTACAGATTCAATCAACAGTGTATTTTCCCTGATTATCTATGACTTCCTTCCATTTATTAACCAGCTTACTAATTCCATTACTATAAAATTCTTTTGGCTTTGATTTGAAGAACTCACAAATGTCAGTTTTAACCTCTTCCTGTGTTACAAAAGCTGTTTCTTCCAAATGATTCTGTAAGCTACGAAAAAAATGGTAGTCTGAAGGAGCAAGATCGGGAGAATAAGGTGGATGAGGAATTTTCTCCCAACCAAGTTCTTCGATCTTTTGTGACGTGATTCTTGCTGTGTCGGGTCGCGCATTGCCCTGATGAAACATCACCTCTTTTCGATTCACTAGAGCAGGTCTTTTTTTCCTCAAAGCTTGGTTCAAACGCTCTAATTGCTGATAGTATATTTGAGCATTAATTGTTGCATTAGGTGGTAAGAATTCAAAGTGGATTATTCCTTGGCGATCCCACAAGATTTAAAGAAGAACCTTTTGCCCATGAAGTTCCCTTCTCGGCTGTGGCTGGAGTCCTTCCCCTTTACCAAGCCACTGTCTACGACGCTTAACATTTCGATAAAAGTTCCATTTTTCGTCGCCAGTCACAAGTCTATCCAAATAAGGTGAGACAAATTGGCGAGAATGGAGAGAAGAGCAGATGTCAACTCGGGATTTGAGGTTGTTTTCAGACAATTCATGAGGCA